GGGGGGCCTAGGAGCCAGGACTCCTGAGTTCTCTCTCCAGCTCTGGGAGGGGAGTGGGGTCTAGTGGTGAGAGCTGGGTGGGGGGCTGGGAACCAGGACTCCTGAGTTCTCTCCCCAGCTCTGGGAGGGGAGTGGGGTCTGGTGGTTAGAGCAGTGGGGGCTGCGAGCCAGGACTCCTGGGTTCTCTCCTTGGCTCTGGGAGGGGAGTGGGGTCTGGTGGTTGAGAGCAGGGGGCTGTGGGGCAGGGTCATTGGCGAACTCCCCATCACCCCCTCATCTCCGGTCCCTCCCCAGCTACAAACCTGCCCCCTTCTTCGTGCTGGACGAAATCGACGCTGCACTGGACAACACCAATATCGGGAAGGTGTGTGGGGCTGATGGGGGGCCAATAGCAAGGGGCCTCCATGGGCCATGTGATGGGAGGGAAGCTGGGGGGGAGGGCAACAGCTGGGGGTTGGGGTAGAGGAAAGGGAAGTGGTTTGGGAGGACGCGGGGGATTTGGGTGTGATGGGGCAGGAGAGTTCGGGGCTGGGGACTCTAGGGAGAAAGATTTGGGGGAGGCGGTCATGAAGGGGGTGCCCTGTTGACCCCCAGTAGATTAGAGGGCTTGGGGGGAAGATCTGGAGCTGGGTCTGAGGGGAGGGAGTGGGCTGGGGGTTTTAGGGGACCCCCATTGACCCCCCCCCGATTCCCCTCACAGGTGGCCAACTACATCAAAGAGCAGTCCACCTGCAACTTCCAGGCCATTGTCATCTCGCTGAAGGAGGAATTCTACACCAAGGCCGAGAGCCTGATTGGGGTCTACCCTGAGGTACGGGGGGGCTGTCCCCCACTTCTCTGCTGGGGTCCGGGGCGCTGGCCAATCCATCCAGCCCCCGGGGGTGGGGCACGGGGGGCCTGTCTCTGCCTGGATCCAGGGGGCAGAGGTGCGGGGGGATGGGCAGGGCATTTGGGGGGGCGGCACGGACCACCGGCCCTGCCTGGGGTGGGGGGGTGCACACATTCAGTAGGGGGGTGCGGGTAAGTGACCCCCTTTTTTGATCCATCTTTGACCCCCCCCTTTCCCCCCTCTCTCCACAGCAAGGGGACTGCGTGATCAGCAAAGTGCTGACCTTTGACCTCACCAAGTACCCCGACGCCAACCCGAACCCCAACGAGCAATAAGCCGGCTGGACGCTGCCATGGGGGGGGGGGAAATGTGATGGGTTAACCCCCCCCATTTATTTTTAACCATTTCATTGCCTCTGCCAATGCCCTTGTCCCCCCGGACTGCTATTAACCCCTCGTCTCTAGGGTGGGGGCCACCTGACTCCACATCACTGGGGGGAGCGGTTTTATCCCCGGGGGGGCCTCAATTCCCCCCACCCCCTCCGATGCTATTTTTAGAATCGTGCTATTTAACTTGCTTTTTAAAACCAGCCCCTGGGGGATCAGCCTGGTAGGGCTGGAATTAGGGGGCAGTTGGGGGGCGGGAAGGGGTGTGGGGGGGTCACCGGGCTGCTGCTTTTCGAGTCGTGTCTCTGTGTGTGTGTGTGTGTGTGTGTGTGTGTGTGTGTGTGTGTGTAGAATGTGTTCTTTTGACAAACAAAA